GCAGACCAGGTGCAGATGGGACTCCCTCCTGTCAGGCATGGCTTGCTTCTGGTAGGTAGAGAAGTGGACCAGCTCACATGCACATGACGTGTTCCCTTGGTTCCTTGCTGTCAGCCTCTCCTTTCTGTCACCCTGGTCTGAATATTTAGCTCCTGGGAAAACTTGGGTTTGCAGATTTCTCTTGATATTTCAAAGTGTATTTCTGTGTTGCCTTTGTTCTCCATCCGTGGGACAGAGATGAAGGCAGGAAAATTCTCCTACTCTGAAAGCAGCCAAAAGAAATATCCAGAAATATCTGAATTCAGAAATATCTGAAGTTTTGCAGTTTTCATTGATCGGTTAACTTGGTCTTGGATGTATGGTCTTGCTGATCTCCTTGGGGGAGGGGCCTGTTGCCATGATTCTCAAATGTCTTTGCCCGAGGTGGAATTGCGCCACCTTTGCCAGGATCCAGGCTAAGTAATCTGTGCCATTTCAGTCTCAGGAGCTTTTGTTTCCTAAAAGGTTTCCGTAGAGCTCTGGAGGATGGGAATGAAAATGGCAGCCTCCCAATCTCTGGCCCTGTAGGTGCTGAGAGCTCTGGACCCCACTCCTCAGTGCACCCTCAGAGAAAAGCTGTGAATTCTCCCTTCTTCTTTTTCTCCAGCTGCACTCCATGCTCACCCAGCATGTGACTGAGTGTTTCTATCACAGGAACATGGCCCCATTTGGAGTTTCCAAACCCAGCAGTTTCCTGCCATTTGCTTCCGTGCCAGGAAGGCAGGGGTCTCCACAGATCTGCCACTTGTGGAAACTCTGCTTGAAGAGCAGTGGCCTGACTATGCATCAGATCATGGTTTAAGGTAAGTCCAAGCTGAGAATTGACTCCTTGGCTCTGTTTCTGGAGCCAGCTTCCCTGCTCCAATACCTGGGAGCTCTGCCACCCTCAATCACCCCTGGGCTTTTTGACCCTGCAGGTCCTGAGACCACACTGTCCTTGCGAGGGCTATATCCCCACTGAGGCTCTGGAGCGACATCCCTTAGTGGAGCAGACTTCTAAAAATTCCAATTTTGTGCTCTGCTGCTCTTCCACTTGCCAGGAGCCAGCCCTTCCCTCCATGGTCTATCTTCCTGTAGGTTGCCTTGGATCCACTTCTCTGCACATCCTACCTTCTGGAAAGTGGTCAATTTTCTGTTCCTAGAATTGCTGCTCTTGTTCTCTTCTACGTCCTATTGAGTTTGTAGGTTTTCAGAATGGTTTGATAACTAGCAAAACTCCTGGGACAGGATGATACTTAGATCTCCTACACCTCTGCCATCTTGCTCCTCCCTCCACACATAGTGTTTTATTCTATCCTTTTCCTTACTTTTCTGAAGGGAAAATGGAGTGGTGACTGGAGCTTGGTTTCTGATTGGAAGGAATGGGAGATGAGATTTGAAAGAGCAGTGTTCATGCTGATGTGGTGCTCTGTGCCCAGTGAGTGAGGGTTTGAAGCTTGGAATTGGAAGCGTTGGTGTTCAGGAAGGATATGGTCTGAGTTTCCTCCACACAGAATCGCTCAGCTTGTCTGCCTAAATAGACCGGTTTCTGCCTTTTGAAGGGCAGTTTGAAGGTGGCTCAAAACCTTCGGGCACTGGAGGAATGATCTGGAAGGGACACCTCAGTGGAACAATGTAGACAAACCCAGGGAATTCTAGAAACAATGAACACATTTCTGAGACTGAAGTTTGCTTCTCTGTGAGTAGCATTGCACTGGGGTGGAAAGCAGTCTCTGGGTCTTAGGATAGTCACCATGTCAGCAGGTGTGAATCTGGCAGGGCTAGTCAGATCAGAGAGCTGGGAGACTGTGAGGCCATGGTGGTGGGCCTTTGCTGTTGATGCACAGGCCAGCTTGTTCCAAGGACAGGGCTCTGCTTCCTGGCCAGGCTTCCTGCTGCAGATGTGATAGGAAATTTGCCTCCTGTTGGGTTCTCCAGCCCTCATCTCAGCAGGGGGCTTGGTGGGAAGTAACCCACAGACAGCATTATGGATTCTTGCCCAGTATGCCTCTTTCTTCCTTAGATGAGGCACCGCAGGTGTCCTCTGCCTGGTGTCTGTGAATTCAGCGAGCAGAAGCTCTTCTTCTAGAGCCACACCCATGAGAAATCCTCTACTTTCCTGTGCTGTGTGCAAGAGGCTGGTTTTCATTTGGAACTGAAATCTCAGCTCCCACCATGAGGCATACATAAAGCCTGATTAGAGATACTTCTTTTGTAAATGATCATAAACTTCTATTTCAAGTGATTAATTGAGAAAAGGATTTTAGTTATGAACAAGATTTTAGCTAGTTATAAATATAAAATTTAAGACCCCATCAAAGATACCACTCTTTCTTCTTATAATTTCTCTTCTCAGAGAAATAAGAGCTGGTGGATGAAATCCTCTTTTTTTTTCCCCCAATATGCACAATATTGACTAGATTGAGTTATAAATTCTTCATTATTTTAGGAAATAATGTTTATTAAAAATTTTATTTTTATTTCATGTAGAACAGATTTAAATTTAATCACCTCACTTTTGTTTGGCCTCGATCCATACAATCATTTTCTTTATTTGAGATACTGATATGATGAAAAATATGATGACATAATACAGAATTATACTTACATTTCTAGACTGAATTTCTTGATCCTATTTTATATTCTTTTTGGCATCATATTTGATTTAATTTGTTATGTACAATTTTTTTATGCTTTTAAGTGATACTGATTTTGTTTTATTTTTAATCTTATTTTGTTACTATGAGCTTCTCAAGAAGAATTTTTAAGCTTTTAAAAAAATTCTATATAACCTGGAAGAGTTTCAATAGCCTAGCATTTGTCCTTTAATGTTTAAATCACCTATTGGTAAGGCATTCTGGGTTTTATGTGGCTCAGGGAAATAAGTTTAAAGTTTTTGTTCAAATAATAGAGACATTTAAAGTTATAAAATATTATTCTGAGTTTAATTTGGCTATTCATAAGTTTTAATAAGAATAATTGCATTCCTATTTTCACTTTCAAAGTCCCGTACCAATCCAGATTATATTTCCTACTGATGTGAATTATTTGAGATTTCTAAAAAAATTCCAATAAGATATCTTGGGGAATTTGTTGTTCATCTGTTACTATTGCTCAGCTTAGTAAAATTTGGCCAGAGAATATTGGCACTAAAATTTTGTGATGTAGATTTTTCTCTATAGCTTACCATTTTATTTGTATCAAAGTTCTATGAGTATTAAAAATAATATTTGTACATTTTTATAAGGTTTTATGTAAAATCTACATTATTGATTATGTCATTCACATATCTATATTATCCTTTTGTTTAAATTGTTTGCAAATGACTGAAAGATGTGTGTTAAAATCAATTACTAAGAACCTGTTTTTGCTGTACATCATAAACAATACATTTATCCATTAGAAAACTTTTTATCCAATTCCATTATTTTGGCTTTAAGTCTTCTTCATCGGGCATAATATTGATGCTCATTCGTTCATTACTGATGCATATATGTGCCTATTCTTCCTCTTCCACACCAGCCCATAAAACCAGAGACTAAATTATTGCTTTATGATGAAATGTCAAATTAAACACTTGTATAGATGTGAGTAGCTACTTTTTTTCCACTACAAGGAAAGCTACACTGTTATGATGAGAAGTTTGATTGTAAGTAAGGAATCAAGCAAAGGGAGTTAACTAAAATAACCCAGTACTTAATGATATTCTGTTAAGGAAGGCAATGCATCAGCCTTTGTATTGAATGACTCAGAAAGGGAGAATCTTTATAGTTTACAGGCTATGATTGTCTTGTTAGGGTCCATAATCAAAGGAGCGAGACTGATACAAAGCAAAGGTCAAGCAAAGCTTTATTTCGTGCCAAGCATCGAGAATCAAACTGACCGGTCAGGGCCGTCTCTTGCAAAGAGGCAATCCCTCCCAGCCTCACAGACTAACTTTTATAGAGTAAAGGCCATGTGGTTGAGCCTGGCCACACACAGGTGGCCAATGAGATTACAATACTGCACAGTCATGTTAGGTCACACACGGGAGGCCAATTGAATTACAATTCACCCTAGCAGATATAAGCGTGCCCCACTGATTGGCTGTCTCTACCTGGCCTGACCCACCCTTGTATCTGAGCTTTGCAAGTAAGTTCCTCTGGGAGGGGCAGGGTCAATCTAAGTTTACTGAATAGGGTCAATCTAAGTTTACTGCATAAACAACAAAATGGCTCCCTCTGATTAAGTAGGCCCTTATAGTCTTTCTTTCTTTTTTTAATCACTCTGTTTAATTTTCTCTTTTTACATGTTAAAAGTTTGAGTCTTATAAATAACATACTATAAGTTTCTGACTCAATATGAAATAAATTCTTATGGAGTGGGCTGCAGACACTGGTTGCCTATGTCTGAGGACTCACTTCTCCAAGTAGAAGGCTGGGTTCTAGCTTTCATTGGCCATAAAATATGGCTGACCTCAATGCCCTCTGACTGCGGCCACTCACTTTCTTCTTTTTTAATGTAGACTAGTAATTTAATAATAATTATTTTGTAATTGTAATCTTTTAAAATATAGATTTATTTTATAATCATAATCTTTTTTAATATGGACAAAAAATTTAATAATTATTATTTTTAATTGCTGTAAAACAGATTGCAGCTATATAGAATGTAAGTTTCTTACTTTGGCACAATATCATCAGGTATATGGTTATGACACAGTTTCTATCAGAGTATTCTGATTATTCTATTCAGACACTTGGGTCTCAAAAAAAAAAAAAAAGAGTAAAAACACATTTAGATTATAGTATAATGATGCCAGATAAGATACCCATTTTTGCGTGTGTGTGATTAGTTTGGAGGAAGCATTGTTACATTGTGCTAAAGTTGTCCTATCATGTTGATTGTTACAAACCAAATTACCTGGAATACCACTTTTCTTCTATAAGACGAAGGATTACAGTGGCTGACCCTCCACTCCAATCACATATACACAACCCCCTACACGGAGTCCTGCATCCCACAATGAGGGCAAGCTGGGAGTGAGTATATTTTCTGTCATTCTGTGTACAGCACTGGAATACTCCTTTCAGAAGAACTAGAGAGCTTAACTCTTGCTGCTCATCTATTGCCCTTGCCCCAGCACCCAGCTTCTGAACTCAGAGGCATGAGATTCTGCTAGTTATCTATGGGACTTTGAACTTACCCATGATGTCTTAACTTTGCCCAGCCCTCCCTCATTCTGGTCTCACCTATACTATATCTTGCAAAGATTCTACAAAATTTCTGGTATGTGGCTGGTACTTGTCCTCTATTTCCAATGTGGTATAAATATTTCCCTATGGATGGAGGGAATGGGAGAGGTGGTAGGGAAAGTAGTCAAATGAGCAAGGCCAGTTTGTCCTGTTATATTAAAATTGGTCATTTAGTTACTTCAGACTGTTTAATTAATTAACCATATTAACCTTTTAATGAATTGCTATGTAATAGTTAAAGTGTATTGGGCTGAGACTAAGGATAAATAGACCTGTTAAAAAACCTACTACATGAACTTACAATCAACCAGAGCTTCAGGTTCATTACCTGAAATATGAGATAAAAAGGGTTTTGATCTCTAAAGTTCCTTTCACTTATCTTAATTAATGACTATGTGTTTTTTTAGTGACACTAGTTTTTAATACTGCATTTAACTACAACATTTCACTAGGACTACATTTCATTGCAGTTTGATTATTATGAGTTAACCCTGACAGGGATGTAAAAGTCTGATCCTAAATAAGAATGAGTGTCATTGCCTCTGAATTTTGAGCAGACTGTAGTCATAACAAACGATGTCTATGCACCCACTTTATATATCTATCACGTGATAATCATTCATTTATGTTACTTGGTACTGTAGATACTTTAAGGGCCATTTCTCCTGGCTGTTATTGATGAAAAATATTATGCTCCATTACTCAGCATTTAGAACTAATGACTGCTCCTCTCAGCTTGTTGTCAACCAGCTTCCTCTTTTATCTCCAGAACACTTATGATGGCAAAAGGCATCTTTTGAAAGATTTTAAAGTCAGGAGAGGTCATGTTCATGAAGTCCCTGTTCCTTGTCAATTCTTCAACATAATATTTAGTCATGTGAGAGTTTTCCCACCTGGAAGATCCAGTTCACTAAGGAAATAGCAAACAACACTGCTGCTTATAAAAATGAGGTAATACTTGTGCTTTCCTAGAAGTCTAGTTAATTTCATTGCTTCATGCCATGATAAGTCATGCAAAATTGTCAGATCTAGAAAATTTTGGGGGGGATTGGTGTATATATAATGACAAAATCAATTATATTAATGAAATTGACCAGCTAATTTTTCAAATATCTTAATTATCTAATATTCAAAGAGGACTTTTTTTTAAAATTGTGGTTTGAAATACATTTGGCTCTTGGAAAGGATCATAGGTGTTACCTTGTACTCCATCCCAACCAGCCCATTGAGTTCTTTTAATATAGCCATGGCAGGTGGCCATCAGCCTTTGTTAAGCATGTCTCATTATAAAGAAATCTCTATTACGAATATAAATATTTCTTTTTTTGAACATGTTTTTAAAAAGTTAAGTTTACTAATTTCCTCTTGTTTTTACCAGTTGGTCCTAATTTTTCACCTACACCCTCATCCTCAAGCTTATCCTCCTCCTCTGTATCTCCATTGAGAAAGGAAAGCTTTTCCTCTTTCACTCACAGGTGTAGTCATCTGACAATAATTGACAAGTCAATTATTGGATACATAATGTGTGTGTATATATTTAATACCTACTATATATTAGGTATAATACCAGATACTAAAGTAAAATAGTGATTATGGTAAAAATGGTAGCATCCCTCAGAGAATTTCCTGGCTAGGAGTAATGTGGACTAAATAAACTGTTCATTTTAATATATGGTCAGTGTTTCCAATCTTTGATTATGAATTTTGGGAAATACCTTTGCATAGAATAACCTTATATGTGTTCAACCCTCCCACCCCACAAATTAATAATTTTGATGTTATATTGCATTTTAAAAGTACTTTAAATATAATATTGCATTGTATCTATAGAGTACTTAAAGGAATAACAATGATAAACCCTGTTCATCATAATTGAAAGTACAACTTCAATAGTACTTTAATGTGTATTGTTACCTTGGCTTCATTTTTAAGGAAAGGAAACTGATTCATCCAAGTGACTCATTCAGAGTCACAGAATTGATGAGTGAAATAACTAGATCCAATACTCAGCTCTCTAACTCAGACCTCTGCTGAATATTAGCAATTGGGAAAGAATCTTTGCATTTGCATGGGGAAAGGTACCCTCTTTTTTTGAATCAATCCTATCCAGTGACACTAAGTAGCGCAAAAGGCAAGCAGCTCCAACAGCAGAATGGGCATTTAAAAAGGACTTCTTATAGATTCATATTTAAAAATAGGAATCTTTATAACAAAAATTATTTTAATTCATGCTCAAATAGTAGTGATATGGTTATTAGAAACATGTATCAAAATTTTAGATGTGAATAATTTGAAATATGTTTAAAGAAACAAAAACATTTCATTAGATAGCTCTGGAAATAAGTATTGAGGACATCTACATTTACAATTCCAGTGGACTCCAGGGTTCAGCCAGTCAGATAAGCCTACTGCAAATAAATTGCAAAGATAGCTATGAAGTACGTACCCCAAAAATCACAGAACATTTGGACTTCATAACTCTCAGAAAGTTATCTTGACTCATTTTGAGAGTGAGTGGTATCTGGTACCTATAGATTGTCCTGAAACGTCAATCAATGACAGAAGAGGCAGGGGTTAAGTCAGTGAGTCCTAGGTTATTCTTCTGTACAGAGTTCTTTTATTCAATTTTTGCTGTTAAAGATTGATTGACTGATTTGAGAGAGAGAGAGAGAGGGAGAGACACAAGAGGGCAGGGGAAGAGAATTTCTACGTAGACAACCTGATGAGCATGGAGTCAGTCCCTGCAGGGCTGGATCCCAGGACCCTGAGATTATGACCTGAGCTGAAACCAAGAGTCCAGTGCTCAACCAACTGAGCCACCCAGGCAGTCTGAATTTTTGCTGTTAATGAATGCAAGTGACCAAGAAAATTAAACACACACACACAAACACACACACACACACAACTATATAGCTATATAGACTCTTCTCCTGCCATGGAAACTTGCTTAGAACCTTAGAAATAAAGGCATTTAAGTTTCCCTTTCTTAGGCTGAAAAATAACAGAGAGAATTTATATTTAATTGAGAAGGCTTAATCATCACCATTTCTAGTTAACATCAAAATTACACAATATGTAACACACACACACACACACACACACACACACACACACACAGATACTTTAAATGAATTTCTAATTCCAGAAGTGAGAAAGTCCAGAATTCCCTTAACATTTTCATGGATCCATTGATTCTTTAAAGTTCATGTTGGCAAGTGCATTTCAATTTACAAGTGACTGTGAAATAGTCATAAAAAAACAAGTACACTATTTACCCTCAGAGCCTTATTTCAGATATTTTCCACAATAGATAATAATATGACACTTAAGGCAAGGCAATTTTAGAAAACTTGAGAGAACCAATATCACTTGTTGGATAAAACAAATAATTGAAAGTTATAGAAAACAATAGATACATAATTCATTCACTTTATATAATTCAACAAAGAATATTTAAAATCCAATTTCTTTCCTTGTAAGTCAGGCAAATGCATCTGATTTCCTTTACTCACCCTTTACATAATTCTGACTTTAAAACTGAGGGTAAGAGGAAGATGGAGAGAGTTAAGGTTGAAGAAGGAAAGTTTTCTGAATTTTCATAAATAAGTATGTAATAAGGTATGTGGCAATCTGTGGTATAACTTTCTCACTTCAAATATTGCATAGACATGTTATACTCCCTTGCATATTGTAAATGCTTTTTTCCCCATTCCCCAACCCTGCTCCCTTCTGGCAATCACCAGTTTGTTCTTCATTGTTATGAGTATATTTCTGTTTTTAGTTTGTTTGTTCATTTGTTTTATTTTTTAAAATTCTGCATAAAAGTTAAATCATATGGTATTTGTCTTTCTCTATCTGACTATTCACTTAGAATAATACCCACTAGGTACATTGATGATGTTACAAATGGCAAGATCTCATTCTTTTTTATGGCTCAGTAATATCACATTGTGTGTGTGTGTGTGTGTATATGTATGTATATATGTGTGTATATATACATATATGTATATATGTATATGTGTGTATATATACATATATATGTATATATGTGTATACTATATACATACAAATATATAGTGGTATGTATTATATATATACACATACCACCTCTTTTTTAAGTTTTTAATTTTAATTCCAGTTATTGTTAACACACAGCATTATATTAGTTTCAGGTATATAATATGGTGATTCAACAATTCTATATATTACTCAGGGAATGTGATGATAAGTGTACTCTTTAATCTCCATCACCTATTTTACCCATCTCCCTACTCATCTCCCCTCTGGTTAACCATCAGTGTGTTCTCTATTCTGAAGAGTCTCTTTCTTGGTTTCTCTTTCTGTCTTCTTCTTTCCTTTGCTTGTTTTGTTTCTTAACTTCCAATTAGGAGTGAAGTCTTATGGTATTTGTCTTTCTCTGACTGAGTTATTTTACTTAGCATTATACCCTCTAAATCCATCCATGTTGTTGCAAATGGCAAAATTGCATTCTTTTTTTATGGCTGAATAATATTCCAGTCTGTGTGTCTGGTGTGTGTATGTATGTGTGCATCATAGCTTCTTTATCTGTTCAACTACCAATGGACACTTGAGCTATTTCCATAATTCGGTTATTATAAATAATGTTGCAATAAACATAGGGGGACCCTTTATTGGATATGTCATTTGGAAATATCTTTTCCCATTCCATAGGCTGATGTTTGGTTTTGTTAACTGTTTCATTCACTGTGCAAAAGATTTTATTTTGATGTAGTCCTAATGGTTTATTTTCGCTTTTATTTACTAGCCTCAGGAGATATATCTAGAAAAAGGTTGCAGTAGCCAATGTCACAGAAATTACTGCCTAGGCTCTCTTCTAGAATTTTTGTGGTTTCAGGTATCACAATTAGGTCCTTAATCCATTTTGAATTTATTTTTATGCATGATGTAAGAATGTGGTATAGTTTCATTCTTTTTCATGTTGCTGTCCAGTTTTGTTTCCAACATAATTTGTCGAATGTCTTTTTCCTATTGGATATTCTTTTCTACTGTGTTGAATATTCATTGACCATATAATTGTGGGTTCATTTCTGGGTTTTCTATTCTGTTTTGTTGATCTATGTGCTATTTTTGTGCCAGTACCATACTGCTTTGATTACCACAGCTTTGTAATATAACTTGAGGTCTAGAATTGTGATACCTCCAGTTGTTTTTTGTTTTTTTCTTTTTCAGGATTGCTTTGACTATTTGGAGTCTTTTGCAGCTCCATACACATTTTGGACTGTTTGTTCTAGTTCTGTGAAAACTGCTGGTGGCATTTTGATAGGGATTGCATTAAATCTGAAGATTGTTTTGGGTAGTATAGACATTTTAGTAATACTTGTTTTTCCAATCCATGAGCATGAAATGTCTATTTATTGTGTGTCATCTTTAATTTCTTTAATTAATATTTTATAGTTTTCAGAGTATAGGTCTTTCACCTCTTTGGTACTTTATTCCTAGGTATTGTTATTTTTAGTACTATTGTAAATGGGATTGTTTTCTTAATTTCTCTTTCTCCTACTTCATTATTAGTATATAGAAACGTAATGGATTTCTGTACATTGATTTATATCCTGCGACTTTACTGAACTCATTTATGAGTTCTAGTAGTTTTTTGGTGGAGTCTTTAGGGATTTCTATATATATATAGTATCATGTCATCTGCAAATAGTGAAAGCTTTACTTCCTCTTTGCCAATTTGGATGTCTTTTATTTCTTTTTATTGTCTGATTCCTGTAGCAATGTTGAATAAAAGTGGTAAGAGTGGGTATCCTTTTCTTGTTCTTTACCTTAGGGAAAAGCTCTCACTTTTTCCCCATTAAGTAAGATGTTTGCTGTGGGTTTTTCATATACAGCCTTTATTATGTTGAGCTATGTTCCCTCTAAACCTACTTTGTTGAATGTTTTTATCACAAATGGATGTTGTAATT